AAGCCGCAGTAGAAGCCCTGCCTTGGAGGCACCCGCCACAACTACAACGGGAGCAACCTTTGAGGAGACGCACACCCATGCCAAGAAGGAGAGTGGGATGGCGCCGATTAGATCTAGCTCCGTTGACTTGGGAAAGGTGATGATTCCGTCACCCCCAAGAGGGACCTTGGAGCAGGAGGACGTGATGGGAAAACCAGTGTGGCTGAAGGTGCGCTTGGCGCCCAGAAGCGCAGCAGAACCGTCGAGTATCCAGCGGACGTTGGACCTGCAGTGAATGCGGTGAAGCCAGTATGGGTGAATGGTGAAGCAGAGTTGATCCTGAATGGAAAGATCTCTACATCAGGGGACAGAATGCTCCCTTGGCCGGCTGGACACTATGTCGAACCAGGAGATGACAAGGACAAGACCATCAAGGAGCTCGTCTATGACATAAGAGGGCCCGCTTTGACCTGCAGGAGAGGGAAGACCATGATCGTGGTCGACCACCGCGGCAAAGAAGCACAAGCCCGGCGCATCACACCTGAAGAGGAGTGGCTGCTCAATGGGGGAGGCCTCAACGAGTTGAGGACGGCACGTGAAACGGGAGCAAACCACGACTACTTCAAGAAGGACGCGGCCATGAAGTTCCCTCAGCAGAGCGCACACCGCATCCTGAGTTGGGTCGAACGCTGGAGGCAGGAGATGAACAAACAGGACCACAATGCAACACAAAGAGTGGGAGTTTGTCACGACCCAGATAGCCAACACAGACAGCAAGTGCGGGCTTGGATGCGTGCTTGGCAGGGAGACCACCAAAACCCACGAGCTGGCTATGAGAAGTGGCTGGCAGCTCAAAAGGTCGGTGCTGTAGAAGCCTGCAAGGTTGGGGGTCGGAGACAAACAGGAGTGAGGAGAGCGAGGTCATCACCACCTGACCGGCTAGTCCTCCCGAGTGCTATTGGGAGAGGTCGAGAACGCCTCAAGCTAGACGCAAATCGAGAACTCCGTCGAGACCAAGCTTGGCTGGATGCACTCGCCGCTGAGGCGGTCATGTCGAAGCTCTCAGAAGGGACACGTGCTGGCTATGAGGTCGGTTGGAAACAATGGTGCCTTTGGAGGCGCATGGGCAACAAGGGGGTCTACCTCACCGGCGAGAGCAAGGAGGACAGAAAAGCCGATGAGGACGAGCTTCTGCGGTTCATGACCTACCTGGCGCATGTGATGGGTAGAACAGAAGGGACAGTGAAACAACGGCTCTTCGCTATCAAGATGGGGCACCTGGTGGCTGGACATGATGATCCCACAATGAACAGGGTTCGGATTTGGGCCGCATTGAATGGGTTCAAGCGATGGCAGCCCGAGACGAAAAGAAAGTACCCAGTGCTGCCTGGGATGCTTACATGGATCAAACGCCACCTGAGCACCAGCGATAGCTTGAGTAGGTGCGATCAGACCATCATCTGGGCAGCGATCATGGTGGGGTTCTTCTTCCTCCTCCGGGCCTCGGAGTTCCTGGTGACGGTCGGAAGATCTTGGGGGAACACGAGAACCCTGAAGGGTAGCGACATCGAGGCAAGACGCAACAACAAGCAGGTGACCAACTTCCACGTTGCAGAGGAGGTGGTGATCTACCTGAAGGGCTCGAAAACGGACCAATACAATCAGGGCACCGTTCGCAACCAGTTCCGCAGTGGGGATGAACTCTGCGTGGTTGGTGCCCTGGCGGAATATCAAAGCATGAAGCCGGAACGTTTTGCAGGAGCTGAAGAAAACCAGCCCTTGTTCAGGCTCGAAGATGGCAAGCCCCTACAGAGGGGGACATACAGAACTTGATCCAGCTGGCCGCAGTGGCAGACGGGCAGGCCACGACCAGATATGGATCTCACAGCCTTCGCATCGGGGGTGCCACAGCCATGTACCAGACGACGAAGGACTTGGATGTGGTAAAGCGCTATGGAAGATGGAACTCTGACGCCTTCCACGGCTACCTCTGGGAATCCCACGAACGCCAGAAGGACCTGGCCAAAGGGATGGCAAAAGCTGACGGCCAGCTGCTAGCGCCGAGAAAGAACAAGGGCTTTGAAGCTGACCCGAAAGGTCAAGACAGGCAGAACTTCGAGGTGGAGAACAAGCCCATGAAGCCCTCGGTGAAAGTGGGCGCGCTGCCCCATAAAGATGAAGTTGGAGCCTTAGGCGTTCCATGTGACGAAGGGCACAAGGAGCATGGCTACACCATCTTGAATGAGGGCACATCGATCCTCGGCGAGCTCTATGGCAAGTTCACCTATGGGAGTTGAATGGCCAAAAAGGCTGCGAAGCACAGACTTCAGTCAGCATGGCA